CTAGCCCTTATCTATTGTTTCCTCATATATTTGCCTTCCCACAATTTGTCATTTGTAGAAGCTCATACTCTTTTTCCTTTGTCTTGTCACTTCTCTAAAACTGTGTTGTTCCTTTGTTAAGATGCTATATCAGCCAAAGTTCTGACCACCCCTTTTGAGTTACTTATCACTGAATACTCCCATGTGTATGTGTGATGCAAGTGTTAATAAACTTGTTTCTTTTTCTCTTGTTAATTTGTCTTTTCTTAGTCTAATTTACAGAGCTCCAGCCTGAGAACTTAGGATGAGTAGAGAAAAAATATTTTTTTCTTCCCTTGCACTTGCATAAGTCACCCAACTATTTTAGGGGTTTGTAACATAAAAGTCCGAATAGAATGGAAGAAATTGTAAAAATATTTAATTTTACCCCTTCCTTTTATAGATGACAAAACTTAGAGTCATAAAGCTTTGACTAATATCATGTTAAATTGATTAAGACAAACTTCTGGGGGGAGAAAGGGTTGGCCCAGGACACTGGTCTTTTCTAAAAGGAGCAGCCATGATTAGAGACATTTGCTTTAAAAAGGATGAAAGTCATGTAGGTCTAGGCCTAACTACTTCTGAAGGATTTGGGCTCTTAGTTTTAAAAAGTGATCACGTACCAGCCTCTCTCTCACTCATCCACCTTGGAGCTTAGTACTGAAAGTTTGCCAGTGAGAAAACGTCCCAAATGAGAAGATCAGGAAGGAGGCTGTGACTACCGCATGACAGAGGTGAAATTCAGATAGTTTACTCTTGGATGCCTGAGTGGTAGCAAGACCTTTACATTAGTCAGAAACAATTTTACACTCTCTTGAGCAACTTCACCACAGAGGAGGTAACCATGCTCCTCGTTCCTCCTACAAGCACAAATAGCTTTCTCTCTCTTAGAGGCTTCCACTGAGCCCTCTCTCCCTCTGTTGTTTATTAAAATGTTCAGTACAAGAAAAGGAAAGGATTATCCTTCTTCCTGCCATGGAAGATGGTATGCAAAAGGCTACGGTTAATGCAGCATTTGGTTTCTTAAGCTTCTTTAATGTATAGTTGTGGAAAAGCAATCTGCTACCACAACTTATAGTGGTGACTCTCTAAGGATAAAAACTTGACTTTAGTTTGGACTCCATTGTTAGGATAAAATCTGCTTCTGCTATCATTATCCCACTTATGTTTGTTCCCACTCTGTTTCCACTCTGCCACTCAGCTGAGTGGGAAGAAATTAACCTCACCTTGAAGAAAACTCACAGAATCTTTAAGACCATCAGGTTTTCAATAGCAATAAAATTCTACAGTCCTGCTAACATTTAGATCATAGATTCATAGATCTGAAAAAGATTTTAAAAATCATATAGCCTATATATTTAACAGGTGAGGAAAACAAAGTCCAAAGAACCAATGTGACTTGTTCAAACTTGTAAGCTAGTTGGAAGCAGGTCAGAACTAGAATGAGGCCTTAAACCCTCAAGTTCCCCCTTCCCATGGCAGCATGACTAGGTTCCAATCATGTCCACCTCATCTCCAGATCACCCAGGAAGGAACATGCACACATTAGGGCTTTTTATATAATGTTTGGAATTTTCCAAGGAACAGTCTGAAAAAAAGCCATCTCAAAGGTCATGAAAAGGAGATATCTATTACACCATTCTTATGCTTATGGGGTCTTTATCCAGATCAAAATTATATATTGAAATTTAAATTGTACATTGCTTTTTCCACCCAGGAAGGATTAAGCTATACCCCCCACACTTCCTCAAACTTAGTTGCTTCAATTTATGTTTCTGACCTGCTTCTACCCAACACACTCTAGTTTTAAATTCTGACACATCCTGTAGCTGATAAACTACAGCAAAAATAGAAGTATGGGTTTGTAACCATCCTGGAATCCAAATTCAGCTCACAGATGCATTTTGCTTGTCTCACACTATTTTCAAAATTTGACTTTGGGTTTTATACCCAAATCTGCTTTACTCAGTTATACTTACTGCCTGGGCCCTGAAAATCTTTGTGTTTATGATACATATTTGGAGAATTTTCCAAATATAGATGAGGTAGGCAGGTCTTGAGTCTCAACAGAGAATCTACAGCTCTCCTTTAACCCTGAGTGATCAAAAATAGTTAATGAAGTTAGTCCCCTATCTGATCTTCTCTGAAGTAATACTTTAAACTTGAAGTTGTCTTGAAACAGCAATCAGCAATCTGGTTTTGTACATGCAATTTATTTCATGGAATTGAGTTAAAGAGTGAAAATAATTATACTGAAATATTATGGGAAAACCTGATGAGAACTATTTGGAGAATCTTCATCTAGAGTAACCTGCCAGTATTATTATACATTTTTTTTCATCTCTCAAAATGACCTCACCTAAATATACCTACACAAGCCACTTCCATTTATATTTTCCTGAAGACATGGCATCTGTGCAGTGTCAGAAGTAATTGTTATCTTTCAAAGTTTTTTTTTTTAACAAAAAAATCTGAATTACTGGCTTTCCTTGACAATCTAATTTGCATAATTCTAAACTAATATTTCTCAGGCAGATTTTGAATAATGTAAAAAGATAAAGCACACATGAAAATTAAAAAATTAAATAGAATTTAAGCTGTCATATTTGGCTTTAGTTTATCTTTATTCCCTTGATAATCTTCAAACAAAAACACTTTATTCTAGTTCAGAAAGATCATTACATTTGCAGTTACTTTTAAATAGTTTTCTTTTTAAAAAGTTTAAATATTCCATGTTCTACAAAACATATTTCAAAAACAGTATTTCAAAATCATGGAATTTTCCATTTCCTTTACACATACCTATAGTAAAGGAAAAACCTTTTATTCCTACTGATATAGATCTATTCAAAATTAGCTCTTAATTACTTGGTAATACTTTTAAAAATTTTACCAAATCACTATTTTGGTTGTTATCCATTAGATCCACAGAAGAAGTTAGAGTACTATCTTACAACTCTGTTTATTAAGTTTATAAGTTAAAACTCCAACAGTAAAAATTTAGAGTATTCTCTCTAGGTTATAAAGAAAGAATTGAGGCTCTGAGCCTTAATTTGTTACAAAACAAAATAGCCCCTGGATTTCCATGGCAAACCATGAAGAAAACTTTTGGAAATTCTCCTAATACAACTTATTTTTGTGAGGCTGAGTGGTCACCTCTTCTAAAGCTCTATCAACAGCCATTCAAATGGGTTGTCTTCACTTGGCTTTCACTGGCTGATAGAGAGATGTATAAGCTATAAGTGTTCAGAAGAGGCCTATGTCCACAGAACTCAAGGCTTTCATGAAGCTGTAAGGACTACTGGACTATAAACAACAACAAGAGACAAAGATGAGTAATCCTTTCTCTCAGAGTGGGACAGGTTTTGTTCTTTGGTAATTTCACTTATTTTGATGGCTTGGAAAGAGGAAGTGTTTAATCACATGGTGTATACAGGTATATCTAATTTAACTGCTCTTAAAAAGTATTAAATTCATTCTTTGGGATAATAGGGTTGAATTTCAAATGCTGAAAACATTAGGATGGCTATAATCATGCAACTTGTAAATTTGATTATATCTATTGTCTAGTTAGATGTCAAGTGTACAGTGAAGACTTTTAAAACTGTCATTTCAGTCCTATGTAAAAGGAGTTACATTGTCTCATACTTATGGTATTTTAAAAAATACATCTTCAAATCTGACTCAAGAAAATGTTCAAATTGAAAGTAACCATGACCCAATGCCAGAGAAAACACAATTATTCGTCTCTCCCAAACATTTTCATTTCCAGGAAAACTTTGGGCCACCACTGAGAAACCAAGTTCATAGGAAAAAATGTTGGTTCTAAAATAACAAACATAACAAAGTTGGTTCTAAAACACTAAGTCTCTAATTTACTTGCCTTTCTGTCTGTGTACTGATTTACTGTGACTTAGTATACTTTCCTATTGGGGCTCTAAGAATGCAATGGCTATTGTCATCCTAGGGTAGGAGGACTATATGCCTCACCATCAAGCAGGGGGGAAATTGGCATTTGAAATGAGTGCACAGGCTACTCACTCTGCCAGACTTTGTCACTGCACTATAAAAGTACCAAATCATCTGAAACCTCACTGGGGAAAACATCATTATGTAAGCCTAAAACCGAGCTATGAATTTCTGGATCTGATGTGTTGACATCTCAGTCATTATGTTTTGAAGCTAATTTATTTTAAAGGCCTCTAAGTTAAGAATGGTTTTCTGAACTACAAAGTTATATATTCCTGGATTCTCTTCTCCATTGTTCTTCACTGATAGTAGATTAAAGATGAGCATTCATGATTAGCCTGAAATATCTATTTTGGATGCCCTCAAGCTTCACAGTAATAAAGTAAATATATGGAAGCCTTACTATTTTTTATAATCTTTATAATGAATATTCATTGAGGCTCTCGATATGAATCTAGAATACTTGTTAGTCCATGGACTGATGGTTGGAATCTGGGACATAAGACTGGGGCTAAATTTCTTTACCCTCCTAAACTCAGAGAATCTTCAGAAAAATAGAAACAAAAGAGCACAAAGTACTTAAGGTAAGACACTGTTGTATTCATAATATAGAGAAATAACCACCATGCCTCATGGACAGGAGATACAGTTCTCCGTGGGGCTACAAAACTGTGCTAGTAATAATTTTAATTGGATGCTATCTTTGCTGCCTTCAAAAAGAATCATAAAATGGAATTATTACAGGCTACAAATGCACTTACAGTGCTGGCCTCTCACAAGAGGAAGCAGATAACATTTATCCTTTGGAGAGTAACATCAATGGGGTTCTATTTGTTCCCTTCACATGCATCCCCAGTTGCCTGCTATTTGCTTCCTCTTCCTATGTCTAATAGATCAGTTTGAATTAGAGGCTGCAGGACTGGATGCTAAGTTTTGCTGGCCTTCTGCCTCTGGGGAAGGCACAACCCCATGGAAAGGTCCTCTGTGTTTATGGGTCAGGGCAGAGAGCATACCTGCAGAGGATTGGGTGGCGTGAGCGGCGGCGGCGGAAGGCCATGTCCTGGAGACTGACTGAGTTTCTGCGGGGGGCTTGCCCTCTGCTGACTTGGAGATGGTTGGTTCTGGGGGTGAGGGTGGGATTGAGGCTGCTGGGGCTGCGCTGGCAGAGCTGGCAGCTGCTGGGAGGCGGGTGGCGGCTGCTGGGGCGGG